CAACCAGCGCAGTCTATGAAGGTTGACTACTAGCTCCAGTGGACGACCGAGATTACCAAAACTCTACGCCTAACCTCATAATTGCTCGTCCGGTTACCCCACCAGTCTCTTGCAATGCTACGTAGACAGCGGTGTTCGAACACCGACAACCTATTCCTGTAATGGCCAAGTCTCTGCATCGTAGAGCAGGACTAGGTGAACTGTTGCAACATATAATCGACTCTCAACGGACAGCCGGATGTCGCAACGGCGCCACAAATGTCTGAAGTTGGTAAATCCCAATCAAAACTTTTGTATGCGCACCGACACTTCATCTGTGATGCACCCACCAGGTGAGATATAGCTGCTCAGGTAGCAAAATTTGTCTACTTCCTCTATTAGTTCCCCAGTCAGGGTAAGACTGGGTGCTGGACCAACCCAATCTTGTCGCAACATTTTAAACTTTGAAGGTGCAAAACGCTACACTAGCGCTCAGACCACCCAGAAAAGCTGGCAGCTTACCTGAATCTTCATTTAATGGCACATGGTCGTCTGTATACTCCAGGTCGGACAGTCTACCACCTATGAGTAAATCGATACCGCTATCCTTGCACGAGGATAGGGCTGTTTCAAAAATTAAATCTATGAAAAAGTTGAATAGAAACAGAGAGAGAGCGGGCAAACCTGCCGAATACTACTTTCTGTAGTGTATATTATTAGGCCAACATCAGCCTTTTTCTTCCAAATTGTGCATCAAAAGTGGAACTCTCTTTTATCCCACATTACTTGTGCGCCAACTGTAGAAGCTGGAGAAATCATTGGCATGTCATGTATTTTGATATTCATAAAACAGTAAAACCGTGTGATATCCCTCATGCACGGTGTTGTTTGCAGCATTTACCATAGCTTTTTACCAGATCTTTCGATTTTTTTGCCAAAACCCAATGAGACAGAAAATTAAATAGCTTGCAAACATGACCGATTATACAACTTTATCTCTCGTGTGCTTTAGAGAATGGATACAGTGATGTCTCAAGATATCGGTATCTCTGACAGATCAAAGCGTTTCGGCACGCAGGGCCTGAGTGATAGTTCGACATTGCCACTTTTATTGAGACATGCATCATGGAGTCCATTCATATTCTGAGGGAAGGTATTGAGCATCCAGGGGGAACGGACAGGTGGGTACCGTTTGGTGTTCATTCGAAACACGTTGAATGAACAGTTGGTAGTGTACGGCCCTCAAAGATGTGACAAGCCTGGCCAATAAACACAGCCGACGAGTGTTAACAGTTAGCTGAAAAGTCTGTACAGGACTTTCTAGGCCGGACACGTTGATCTTGAGAAACTTACTTCGAGCCATATTATCTCCTGATACTCGAATAAATAATAAATAATGAGTCAAGCAAACGATTTAACAAACCAATGTTTTATTCACAGAGCAGTGTATTTTGTGGATTGAACTTAGCATGTTTCTAGAAAGATTCAATGTTATCCATCGAGAACCTCAATTTTGATCGTAATTTTTTTGTCAGCGGGACAAAAAAAATCAGAATAAAGAAAAAAACTTACTTGAATCTTTTGTGCCCTGATTTCCATTGTGGTCACTTTAACCGCTTTGGTTAACGGATGCGCCTGTCGATCGATGGGCTCAGTCTGGCTCATATCGGTTTGGACAGAACAACGGCTTAAAGCGGGACGGGGATCCGNTCCGTCATAGACGACGGAATGTGACTGGAGGAGTCTGGACGATCGTCTCGAATCAGTCGATTTGGACGTCGACCGAGCATCTTTTGTGGTTCAATAATAATCCTACTACCGGCTATTGTCGGCCAGGGGTCAGTTTCATTCGACAATGCCGGACCGAAACTGCGTCCGGGTGGATTCGGATCGGGGCTCTCGCCGATATCGGAGAGTGTACTGTTATTCACCGGATTCGCGGAGTTGCCACTACTGTTACTTGTGTTTGTCTGGGATATTTTTAGTGCGTTTGTAGTTCCTGTTAGCGAAAAAGCAAACCACATTTATGATGTCTGTCACACAAAAACGATATCTATGGAGGTGAGTGTGTTAACCTATTCACATGACGACTGTAGGAATGATGACTAACTGAAAACATTTCATGAAAACATGATCCATGAAATGAAAATCGGAAGCATATTTTGATTATGCATCTCTGTTCGATGAATAGTAGACTGATGGGTATCTGTAGCCACTAATGACCATGAATCAGTGAGAAATACCGGTAACCGGTGCTTTCTGAGGCATGAGTGTGACACCACATGAGGCCCCAATTGGATAGGCCGGATTTAGAGCAAACCGGTCTAGCATCCCAATTAGACGGTGTTAGCAGGAATGTCTGTAACTGGGCGCACACCAACAATAGCACTGTGTGAAGCACCCAAGTGATGAATTTGAATATAATGGAGTAAAGAGTAAGGCGCGACGGCGAACAAAGATCAATTTTCGGATGCGAATAACTCCCTAATAAGAGAGGCGAACATGCTGTTACGAATGCAGCTTGGGTGTTCCTTTGCAATGTGTAGCTCGGGAAAACGTTCCCATATTTTATTCCACAAAATCCTATTCCTTGTTGGTTAGGAGTCAGGTCAGATAGGATACGGGGGAATTACTATCATATATATTGATGCCGGAAGTAGAAGCTTATGGATGAATGGGAACGACAAGAGGATAAATCAAGGTTGGTTATCATCAGTAGTGCAAATCCATCGACCCAGAACCCGGGACCTCACAGGTAGAACGCAAGCATACTACCGACTCGGCCATCGGGTAGCTAATGATGAGACACAAACTAGGTCGAAACAGCTGCCCAGTGCTCACTAGCTTTTCGGCTCACGTCTCACTCACACGACGAATTCATCATATAAACAAATCAAGTCCTCCATTACCCTCATATAAATCAAGGTAAAGTGTGGATAAAGAGGGTCATCTATATTGGTGAAGTTAACATATTAGTTCTAAGCTCTATGATTCTTTAATCCACCGGAATCCAGAATGACTGAAATCTAATTTTAAGATGCCGAAAAACACTGCTGCAGAGCATTTGAGTAAAACGGAAAAACGCATTGTTGAACGAAAAAGCAGAAAACTGACGGCGAAATTCAAAAGTGTCTGAATTTCAGTATCTAAAAGGAGAGCTGTTTCAGTTTCCTCATGTTGTGAGATACTACTCACAGTTGTGGGTAGTTCACAAAATTATGCGATCGGCGGTTTCTTTCAACCGCCAAAAATGTACAAGACCTTCTGGCGTGTATTGCTACCACTCCGTATGGTGAATACAAGAATGCGCATCCAATAGTGGACCGTTCCATCAACTGTACTGTGTGGGTGGAAATTCTGCAGACTCGCACCAAATAAGATATTTTGTTTTACGACTATTCATTTGCCGATACCTCGATCGTTATTCATAACAGAAACTTTCCTCCACCGGACGTGTGTGGGCCGCCGGAGATGAATATTGATGCCGAAAACCAGGGGTTTCAAGGTCATGCTCCGCATAAGGTTACAATTATTGGTAGCAGAATCCAGTGGGAATTAAACGCCCGAAAACCGAAAATGCACTCTAGGCACTTGGATGTATAATGATCAAGAAAAACTGCAGGATTCATGATGTCTTCAGTGAAGGACTCGAAGTTCAGAGGAGAGGATATCGCCTGACTCGAAACGATGTCGTCAGCCTACCTTTGGATGTGTGCAGAGAGTAGGACCGAAAGAAAAACGGATGTGGCGATAGAACAGCACTCTAGAGCACAACTGAATTATTAAACGGGTTTTGATGTTCAAACGCAGATGAATAAGCAAGAAAAGCACAATGGACAGACTTAAAGCCACCAATTTGCAAATAAAATGGAAAAGAGTGAAGACAAAACCAGTGTAGATCTGTTGGTTTTATATACAAACTGGAGGGAGTTCAAAGGGAATCGTGGTATTTGAATACAAGACAATTTTCAGTCAACTTCAGAACTGTTGAAGTCAGCGCAATAGGGTGAAACCGGTTCGCAACAGCGATTGATGCTGAGGCCTTTGGAATTGCAATCATGTTTCAATGACAACAAGAATCCAGAATCATCCGGAACTCACTAATGAGAGACGTGATCTCGCTGAGTAAGGAAGAGTAAGAAAACGACTGAAAGAGAATATCAGGGTCTGCAGGTGTGGATGTTTTGTACTATCGGAGAAGCTAAAATATCTAGTCATTAGAAAATGTCCTCGGATCGCAATCATTGCGTGGGAAGGAGGGAATCTGGCTCTTATTTGACGGCTGAATGAAGGTTGTCTTAATGCAGTTGCTTTTCACCGGAGTATTTTGATGTGTTGTGTTTTTGAGCACGGAGAAGACGATTACCTTACCATAGGCAAGGCTTCTATCTCTGATTTACTTTGTTCAAAACATCTGTGCTTCGACGGTTACACTCGAATTTGCTATATCGGCCTTGTTTAAATCGGAGTAGCTCTTTACGGCTGCTGCATGACCAGATTTATGGGTCCATTCTCTGTGCCTTCACAATGATTTGAAAACGGAGGAGGGTAAACTTACCGATGCAATCAAACAATTTTTCTATGGGACAACACAAGTGGAAGATCGATTTCATCGTTTAGGTGCAAAATCGAAACATTTAAAAAGCAATGGACGAAAATCAAGCGAAGACTGAACAATCTCTAAAGAACGGTTGAGAAGAGAGAGAGATGCGGCTGGGTGGAACATTTTTTAGATGAAATTTTATCAGATGATAACGTATGCGTGTTTGAGAGGCAGTGCGACAGTATCACTTTGGTCCAACAAGAAGAACACAATGTTCACTGGTAGTAAACGGGGCCAGTGGTGTTTAAAGGAACCAATTGGGATGGTTTTTATTCACTCTATCTAGTACGGAAATGTCTCTGGTAGGAGAATCAAAGGGGTAAGATAGACCAAACGGAGACAGAGGGGAAATCTGACGGGATTAAAACTACCAACAATTAAGAGGAGATTTTGTCGAATAAAGGAACCGGAACCGGGAAATAAAATTCGAAGAAAGTAGAGATTTCAGTCTAAAAACACGAGAGATACATACACATTGGTGATGATTGTACTTTTGGGATGGGAAAATTTTGGATGACAATTAACGGATAAACAGTCAATGCATTTTTTGGAATAGCTAAATATTACTTCTGATTTATCGCACCAGGAGATATCGATTTAGCTTACCAATCCACCTCCAGCCCTCTTCCTTAATTGGCTGCTATTATGTCGGTAGCAAGCTCAACACACTAGCGTGTCTTCAACATTGTGATTGAATCGGGTTCCTTGTACACATCTAACGCATATATCGCAACTAATATGTGTTTAAATAACTAAATATACGTCTTGTTACTTTCTTTTTTATTTATTGAATTCACAAATGTACAGTCAATATTCAGGAGAGGAGGCCGCGACCATGAAAAGGCTGGCTGGGAATACGGGCGGCGGTGGAGCAGTTTGAACCCGGGACTCACAGGTCACCATTCGGCGACAACCACTTGACCACCACCGTGTATAATTGGAGCGAGTAAAAGTTAGTGATGACCACTGATGATACAGTAATCCTGGAAGAAGGGGTGCAAGTAAGTGTAGTCTGTTAGTCGGTTCGCTTGCTTTTTTCACCCGGGCATAGTTACCAGACTCATTGAGCAAATGGTTTGTGGAAAGCATAGAATTCACAGTTTTCCATCGGATCATATAGGAGTGGGAATGAGCATAGGTTTAGTGCATGCTTGGCATCCAGATGGGGATAAATGAAACGCCACAAAATCCAGCGCGGCCACGAGCACGAAAGCGTGGCGCAACCAATCAAAGAGCGCGCGTTTGAGAGATATGGTCTCATCATTAGGTCAATGCATTTCTTTTCTCCCAAATCATTACATGCGCATCAACTGACACATGGAATCATTAGAAAAGTGTAATTTTTGTCCATCTGCTACTCTCAGCAGACACTTCAAACAGCATATATCACAACGTGGTACTGTTGGTTGAATGGTTTTCGTAGAATTCGGGGTTCGCATTCGGTAAGTGAATTCTGCTTCACTTCAAATGTTTCTACGAGTACTTAGATAATAGGTTACGCATGCGCAAATCTTATTCCTTGGTGTACCAACCGCAAACATTCCCATAAATTCCCCTTCCGATTCAACGTTAATACTACCTTATTGTGGTCACACAGAGCACAATCAATCTCCAAAATCGCAAAACAAATGTTTTTCAACAGAACCCAAATCAATGGGGTGGTTTGCTAATCGTGAACCGAAACAACTGGCCTCATCAATAAAATAAAATTTTCATTAGGGGCAGTTTACAATCTGAAGCTTATTGAATCCCATAGGATGTGTACGAATTGAGTTAGGATGGTAGTATAATGAAATACCACTTTATCGCGTTCATTCACGGGTGCTGAACATTGTGGTGTCTCAATGTCTCATTGAGGCGGGAACGTATTAAATTCCAGAATATTCTGATTTTGACATAAGAACACACGTTCAGAGGCAAACAGTGGTTTTCACTGATTCACCTTCTAGCCTGTACAGATCGAATAGGGGAAATGACATGTTGAATGGGGATGATAGTGATTCATTTATTCAAAAGTCACAGGGATTGATTGAAAGGGAGGGGAATGTGGCCGGGAGGGGGGGGGGTGATCGCGACGTGTTTCATACCCCTAGATCATCACAACACTGTGATGCGTCATCCGTGCGATTGGTCTACGGCCACGGCAGTCGAATGGCATTTTGGTTGCTGTTCTGTGCAGACGCTTGAGTCCTTTTTAGTCACGAATTAGCCATGGATTTCAAGCTTGGATAATATGTTCAATGGATAGTCTAATGTATCTTGATGGCCAACGGGGTAATAGATCTGCTTAGAACGCTTAAAAACATGTTCGATCCAACTTGCTTTAGGGCCACTGATGGCTCTATAACACAGTGTGTGGAACATCCAAGATCCTACCAAATAGGAACTCTTAGATC